ATGGATAGATAGGCATATCGACGGGGCATGGGGGGATGGATAGATAGATGGGGGTACACATGGAGATAGGTAGATACAGGGCTTAATTTGTAATGAAAAAGGTGCCGGGGCAGAAGCAATTTTTTTACATTCATAACTGACGCGGCGAACCCAGAGGTGCCGGGCTCTGAACTGCCCAGCCCAGCGGTGCTGGGGCTGTGAACGGCCGGGCCCAGAGGTGTCGGGGCTCTGAACCCCCAGGCCCAGAGGTACCGGGGCTGTGAACTGCCAGGCCCAGCGGTGCCGGGCTCTGACCTGGCACACAGGAAGCCCTGGCGGGCGGGTAGCTAGATCACTGCATTTCTCCTTTGCCCATCCACATGCACTATCCTGGCACCCCTGCCCAGATGTTCCCGGGGGGGGGGGGGGGCTCTGGGACCCGGCTGCCCCCAGCGCTGCGAAGAGTTAAATGGATAGAGGCGCCGAGTCCTCCAGCTGGCTAGAAAAGTGCCGGCTGGGAGCCGCACAGCCCGGGCAGGGGGAATTTAATAACAAAGGCAACTTCCTGTTCCCAGCCTGCTCGGCTGTGCCCAGCGCTGGGCGGGGGCAGGGGGGGGCCCATCCCCAGCACCGAGAGCCCCCTCCAAAGGGGGGGGGATTGCAAAGGGAGCCGGGGTGAGTTGGGGGCGGCCGAGCCCTGGGGGGCGGTGGCCAGAGGGGCGGGAGCGAAACAGCAGGAGAGAGGCAGGACATTGCAGCCTGTGGGAAGTGCTCGGAGCGGGTCAGCTGGGGCGGGGGGGGGGGGGCGGGCCCCTCGGGGGGGGGGGGGGGGGGGCTGTGCCTCTGAGCCCAGCCGCCCCCCCCAGCCAGATCTGGGGTTGCATGGGAGGGTCTGTGCAGCTGAACCCAGCAGCCCCCCCAGCCAGCTCTGGGGGTGCATGGGGGGGTCTGTGCCCCTGAGCCCAGCAGGGCCCCCCCAGCCAGCTCTGGGGTGCATAGGGAGGGGGGTCTGTGCAGCTGAGCCCAGCAGTGTTGCCCCAACTCAATCAGGGCCAGTGCTGGGAGGTTCCTGGTGTCGCCCGCCACTGGATGTTGCATTGGACATGATGGGCCTTTCTGCCCCTATTCACCCCATTAGTGTCCTCTCTGCCCGCCCGCCCCTCGGGGCATGAATCCCCTGCTCCCTCCATCTACTGCTATTTCTTTCTCCCCCCAGCCCCCCAATTCTTTTCATCCAGTTATATCTCCCCCAGTATGTACCACACGTTTGCAGGGAGCCCCTCCTGCTCTGGCTCCCAGCCCCCTGGATGTTCGGTGCTGCCTAGCCAGGGGCAATCAAGGACCCTGACCTGGGGTGCGTCTCTCCTTGCAGGTGCCGGGGGCTGCGATGGAGGAGTGGGCTCTGCTGGATGAGAGGCAGAGGGAGCTCTACCGGGACGTCATGCAGGAGAACTATGGGGACGCCATTTCACTGGGTGAGGGGCGGCAGCGGCACCCCAGGGCTGCCGGCAGAGAGGCTGTGACCCCACGGCCCCTTCCTGTGACGTGATGCAGCTCCTGGGCCGTCTCCTCCCACCCTGCTCCCCCCACAGTGCCCCTGGGCTCCTGCCCTGCTCCCCCCACAGTGCCCCT